TTCGAATAACTCGAAAACCGGTTTTGGAAAAAAGGTGAATAATCGAATACCCTAGTAACTGCATCTTGAACATTTTTTAATGGATTTTAATAAAACTTTTGAAGGCTATTCCTTTAGCATATCGTCACCTGAGTGGAAGATCGACCTACATATCTAGACAGCCAGTTCGAAAACGCCCTATCTCAGAAAACTTTTCAAGAACGCCCTTCTTAGGAATTTAATTGAAAAAAGCCCTATCTCAGAATTTGGTTGAAGAACACCCTATCTCAGAGCTTGGTTCAAAAACGCCCTATCTCAGCTGAAAATACATTGAAAATGGGCTGAGATAGGGCGTTTTTGAATCGGCAGCCAAATTCTGAGGTAGGGCATTTTTGAATCAAATTCTGAAATAGGGCGTTTTCGAGCTGGGTGTCGGGATCGGCCGATCTTCCCTTCAGGTATCGATACGGTCACAACAAAGACTATTAAATAACCGATCTAGTTAAAATTTAATGCGTATATTGCCCTTACGATATAAAAAATTAATATTTTTTTTGGTTGTGGTTGTTTGACAGGTTGGGTGTGTGATGTATTTTGGAACAAATTTCCGTCATCCCGTGTCAAATTTGGTTTGGAGACAAACTGGTTTCAGCGTTGTGCCATCTTCAGTGTTATTTATCGTTTTTCTAGAACCGAAGAAGATATATAGACTCGAGGTATTCGATTGCAAATAGAGTTACATGCAAAATGTCGAGATACTTTACACCTACGTTCTTCATACTTTTAAAATAATAGAACGTAATATAAAAGTGTCTTGGATGCTACCCTATTTAAGCATACGAATGGGCACCTCTTTCTTAATTACAATGTGCAGAGGAGCCAGGTTTAGAAGCGCCTAGGCTTTGCTGTTTTTCTCATCACACCAGTGATGGTCTCGAAGTGATTGGAGTTTGTTGAGCTTGGCCTGCATGGAATGAAATGGTGTGAAATGACTGTCTAAACCATTTGGACTTTTCCCTGAAAGAGAACTTTGTACTATAAAATACTGTGGATATAGTACATATGTACATGTCCTTATTAATGCAACCACGTAGATACATATGTATGTATATTAGGGTGGTCCAAGACAGTAAAGTCGGAATCGCAATGCTCTCACCCCCTAGGTTTGTTCTATATCGAAAAAAAGTATACCGCTATTTTTTTATTTTGAAATCAAAAAATATTTCGAGGTCGCTCAAAGCGCTCAAAGTTTTCCAGGTATTTTTATATTCTACTCCTAGGCGGTGAGAGCATAAAAATTCCGACTTTACCTTTTCACATGCATTTTTGGACCACCCTAATGTATATACATAAGTTATGCCGTATGTATTAACTACTGCTACCAGCATCATCGACTCACCTCTCGCCAGAGTAACAAGCCCCGGCCACGGTAGCGATGTACAGTATCAACGGCAACTTCACATTCACAGCGGTTTTGGCATCAGTATCGGCATTGATAGGCATCAACATCGGCCACGGCATCAACGGAAAAGCATCGGCAACAATAACAACAACAGCTTTTGTGCTCTGACAACGGCAACAGCGACCGCAACGACTTTAACGCGCACATTGATAAATCCATTAAAAAAATTTCTCTGCTGCAATGCGGCAGTTGCATTAATGCTGATGCTGATGCTGATGTTGCATGCTGATGTTGTTGTCAATATTGCCAATGAGATGTAGTTGCTGCAATTGTTTAGCCACTTTCCGTTCGCCATTCACTCATATACATGAATCGATGTACATATGTATGTATATACGTACGCAGGCCAGCGTGAAAATAGCAACAACAACTGTAAAAAATGTAAAGAATTGTATGAATGTATTGGCAACAATAAAGTAACAGTAAAAATTCCGGCAAAATAAACAACAACAAAATGAAAATATTTGGCCGAGAAAGGTTTAAAAATCTGCGAATATTGAACAACGAAAATGCGGAACTCGAAAACTTAACCAAGAAGGGGCAAAAGGAAGTGCGAAAAAATTTACGGAAAGGGTTGCAACAATTTGAAATGAAATCAATTAAATAAAAAAATAAAATTAATAATAATAAAGCAAATAATTCAACATAAGTACAATAAAATAATTTAATATAACATATTTCAAATTTAATAAAATCATAACGTTACATAACATAACCTTACGTAGAAAAACCTAAATCAATAACAGGGACCGAAAATAACTTTTGAATACCAAAATTTTTATTTTTAGGTCATTGAAAAATCGTTATTTTCTTTTTTTTTATTTTTTCAATAAAAAAATAATCGTAAAATTTCGTAATATTTATTTTTGAATTTGTATTTTCTCAATCTATTTGAACTGTTATAATGATGACTGCAGTTTTATGATGTAAAACATTTATGAGCTAAAAAATTAAATCTAAAAATAACGGCTATGGGATGACCGAATAAATGAGAATACAAAAATAACGATTATGTTTTTATCGAAAAAATAACGAATAATTTTAATCGGAAAAATACAAAACCAGTTTTAACGCTTAAGTTATGATTTTTATTACAAAGATCACAATCGTTACGTTCACTGATCAATAGCAAAACTAAATCAAATAAAGTAAAAAAAAAATAAAAAAAATATAATATGTAGAATGTAATGAAATAAAATACGATGCGATAGAATGGAAACATAGCACATCATAAAATAATATAACGTAACATAACGTTACATAACATAACATATTAAAATTTAAATCAATAACGAAACTAAATCAAATAAAGTAAAACAAAATTAAAAAATAAATGAAATGAAATACAAAAAAATTTAAATAGAACGTAGTGAAATAAGATACGAAAACATAGCACAGCATAACGCTATATAATGTTACATAACATGACATTACATGTGACGAATGAAGTACTCAAAAATGCAGCCATTTCTGCCTCTCAGCTGGGGAGTATACATGATAAAATCAAGTTGATATCACACACATATTTCGCATATAAATAATACTGTTAAATAACTGTATTGGGTATAAAAATTGCCACTCCACCCAAACTCAGTCAGCCTCACTTGTTTACTACAATTTCTTCTTGCAAATAATCTTTTCTTGCATTTTTTTTTATCTTACTTCACCTCCCGGTTTACTACACGCTATTAACAAGTGCCAGCCACTTGCTGCAAGTAACTGTAAATTTATGTAGGTACAACGTTGTCAGGTCAGTTTCAGTATGTGTATTCATATATTTTTTCTTTAACGGCCGTACGCTAAACATTCGCCGTGCCCAATTGAGCGGTGAATGCGCGTCGCGTGCGCTTATCGAGGAACAGCATCCACGCGCATAAAAAATGGTCACAGCGTGTTGTTGGCGTTTGTATGGAATTTTTATTTTGCATTTATTTTTTAGTCACGATTTTTTATTTTTTTTTTTGTATTGCACTCATCGCCTCGGCTGCATTTCTCATTTTATTGCGCCTGTTTACTTTCTGCATATTCGCTGCGCTGGTTTTATTGCCATTGTGGCCAGTGTGTTGCAATGTATGTATGTATGTACAGAGTGCGTGCTACCCTCACACGCTTCGTGTCACACACATTTACCGTTCGTTCGTTCCATCAAGTTCATTGTGCGTTG